TTGTATTGTATTGTATTGTATTGTATTGTATTGTATTTAATAAATTATTAAAGGTCTCCGACCAGTATCCAAAATTCATTACATTACTTCAGGTTACAGGTAGTCCTTGCTTAATGTCCACTTATTCAGAGACTGTTCAAAGTTACAACAGTGCTGAACAGGGGGGACTTACAATGGGTCCTCATAGTGGTGGCCACTGCAGCATCCCCATGGTCACATGATCATTATTTGGGTGCTTGGCAACTGTCTTGAATTATGATGTTGCAACATCCCGCAGTCACATAATTGCCATTTGTGACCTTCACTGCCAGCTTCTGACAAGCAAAGTCAGTGGGGAAGCTGGCAGGAGGTCACAAGTGATGATCAGGTGACTGTGGGACGCTGTACAGGACTTGCCCAACAATGGCAACTGGGACTGCTGGAACTGTCATAGTAATGTGACATTGTGCCTTACGACCGCGGTATTTCCAATCCCAATTACAGTTGGTAAGCGAGGACTACCTGTATAATAAAATATATATATAATATATAAAAGCTTACATAAAATGATATAAAATCAGTGTAAACCACAATAATAAAAGGAAAGACCACTGATTCCTATCTTCCTATACTTTCTATTCTTGCATGACAGCTTGGTAAGAAAAATTCAGTGAAGAGTTTTTGTACATCAGAGACACTGGAAGGGAGTAAAGGGGAAGGGAAGGGTTTGACTTTGCTTGTCACTGTGCACCTCCCTACCCAAAATAAATTCAATATACAGAATTCTTAGTGGGGACGTCCTTTTTCAGTTCACACCATTTCATCTCCCACCCCAGAGGTTTATTTAATAGCAACTGTCTCTCAAATGGGTTGATGAACTCAGCTGCATGTTGATTTCACATAATTACTTTCAGCCTAAATATGTCAATTACAGTACTGTTTTGTTGTACAATTAAAAACTCTTCTCATATGAAGGGAGTCCATTTTTATATGCCAGTAATTTAATATATCAGGTTTTATCCACTAATTTGCCTGTTCATGGTCCAGCCATGCTTGATTTCCACTATATGCAAAGTATATTGTCAAATCAAACCAGTCTGAGACCGCCTAAGGAGGCTAGAGGTTAATTAAATAAGTAATTTGTACTCAGGTCATTGTGCTTATAAAGGCTCGACAGCATTTTAAATCTTAAAAAATATAAAAATATAATTAACTCATAGTAAGAGAAGAACCACCATATATCAAAAGGTGTGTCTGACATACAAAACTCCACTCATGAGTTTTCTGGACCCTGGAAACTGATGCAACAGCTTTATGAATTTCAGCAGATGCTGCGTTTGTACTCCTGCGTGTTCTGAAACTCCTCTTCCAAACAGAATCCAAAGTATTGCAGAGCCCTAATGTACACCACTTTAATTAAGATCAGATAAAAACAAACTGTTTATATAATGTTTGTACCATTTTTTATGTACTTTGCTTACAGTCCTTGTCTCTTAACAGTGAGAAACCAAGTGCTAGAACTCAACAGTTTTATTCAAATGGCATAGTCTGTTGCAAATCAGCACCGCATGACAGGAAAATGTAACTTTTTACTGCTACATTACACACACACTTATCCCTCCATGGCCTGGCAATTATAGGAATGTGTACAGGCACAGATTTGTTTGTATGGATCATTTTTGTTACGTATAAAAGTTTAGAAGAATCACAGCTTTTTTTTCCCTTAAGAGCTTCAGAAAAATTCATGCAAAGGGTGTTTCTGCCACCTCTCAAAATCATTGTAACTGTTCCTTTTTACACATTTATCCTTGGGAATACATTAATTGAGTTCAATGGAGCATCTTCTCAGTAAAGATATAGCAACCTTCCCCAAGTTGGGAGAATCTAAATTCATTTTTTGTTCTATGAATGCCTAATCCAAGAATGAGACAATACTTTTATTGTGCCCAAGTAACTGACCTTTAAAAAGTCTTCATTAGATATAAATGTTCAGAGCAAACACTGATTGCTGGTATAAGATAATAACTCTGTAGCCAGTACTGAGAATACAGGATTAATTGTAATGCACAGTCTGTGGAATTGTGACTTCCCTTTCCACTTGCAGCATTTTTAATTTTGAATCTTTTGGTCTGCCGCAGCATAATTAAGATGACGCTACCAGGCAGACTCAGAAAGGTAACAGGTACCTCTGCTCTTTTTTCATCCCCCTTCCAGTGTTAATGTGGGAGATGAAAACTATTGCCCCATTATCTTAGGACAGTGTTGTCCAAACTTGGCCACTGTAAGATGAGTGGACTTCAACTCCCAGAATTC